GGCTTTTGTCCTCCCTCGTGCTGGGTGACATTGCTCAGCAGAGGAGAACCTGCTTGGAAGGCTACACTCACCAGGGACAGGTATTTAATTAAGGCTCCAGTCAGGCCCCTCCTGCCACCAGCACGGGCTGCTCCATCCCAGCACAACCCGGACTGTGGGGCGGAGAAAAGCCCTGAAAGGAGGAACACTGAGTTTGCTCCATCACAGCACATCACAGAAATTACACAGGACACTAACCTGGATTCGAAGCCAGGCCAAGGCTCAGAGAAACTCTCAGTCTCCTCAGCAGCAGAGTCACTCCTGTGCCAGCACAGCCCAGTTCTGGGTGCCAAAGGGACCCAGCCCCAGCAGTGGCTCTGCCTGTTGTCCCCTTTGCCGAAATCCACCTGCTGGGCCCAGCCACCACAACAGGTCACGTTCTTCCTCAAAGTCCCATCCTGCTTCTCTTTCATTATTTTTAAGTTTGCGTGACTAGTTCAGGTACATCCCACCCAATTGATTTGCACCGATCATGGCAATCACCAGCCAGGGAGGGCAAAAGCCACAAGGATTTTAGAAGGAACAGATTAGGCTCCAGGAATCCTCCCCAAGGCCTGTCCCCCATCCCCACTGCTGCCTTATGGCCCCAGCACGTGCTCATCTCTCTCAGCAGAGCTCCAGCCAGCGCTGTCTCCGTTTGCTGGAGATGATCTCCCTGTTTTCCCCTGCTCAGCCCTGCTTTCCTCGCCACGGACAGCAGCCAGGCTGCATCCCGCAGTGTCTGTGTGCCCATCGGCCTGTGCCTCCCCTGGGGAGAGGAGAGCCAGGGCAGGGATCGACCAGCTGTCAGGCAGAAGGAAGAAATACCACTTCCAGGAGTCAGAGCTCATTTCCCAGCAATAAAAGCAGGCTGGGGCTGGAAAAAGTACCGCTAATGGGGATGCACATCCCACACCACTCCAGCTGCCGACAGGAACGTACCCAGGGGCTGTAGCTTGGAAAGTAAAAGCCATCAGCAAGGCTTGGTTTAAGTGGCACAGCTGTAGATTAGGCCCAGATCAGGGCATAAAGGATCTGCCATTCCCCACATGGATTACTGCTGTGGATGATGCCCTCCACGTGCCAACCTTGGCTTCTGGCTCTGAGTTATGGCTCCTCCAGCAGATGGAAACCTTAATGCTTCTTCCAGGGAGGGGAATGGCTCAGATCAGCATCCGCCCTTAACTGCTCCACTCTCCATCCTCCTCAGCCCCATTATCCCCACTCCACCCACACACACTGCTCTGGGGGCTCGAGGAAGAGCCAGCATCTCCAGTGTTGTAAATGCCACCTAGAAAGGAAGATCTGGAGAGTTTGTGCTTCCTGGAGTTATTTGTGGGTGGATTTTATCTCCCTTCCCATCTATTCTCGGTGTGCTTTGGTGAGGAGGGTCCTCACCGCTGAGTGGGCAGCCTGCCTTGCCTCTGCCAGGCTAACACCCTCCAAGCAGGGCTGCAAGACCATTCTACCTCCCCAGAACAACCCCCAGAGATCCAGGCAGACCCCAGGGACTGGGACATGCCTGGGCCCAGCCAGGGGACAATCCCTGCAAGGCAGCTACCGTGGGTTTGAAGACACACTTGTTTGTTTGTTTGTCGCTGGGCAACAGAGAGGATGGAAAAAATGTCAATGTCATATTGTCACCTATGAGTCACCGATCAGCACGGGTGGAGATGCCCAGGTCCTGCCACCACCGAGCGAGCGTGGGGAGACCAGAAAACGGCCTGAGGCACCCCAAAAGCAGCTCACCCCAGCTCTCCCTGCCTGTGTCACCCTGCTCTGACAGCTTCCCCATCCCCACAGATGGGGACTCGAGTGGCCTGGGGACATCGGTGGTCTGGGGACATCGGTGGCCCAGGGGCAACTTTCCGAGCCCCGGAAGAGGAGGCAGGAATTCGCATTCCTATTTGCATTTCCTAATTGCGGGTTTCCTGGGGCTGCGGCTGGTTTCCATGGCAGGTTTTGTGCAGACCTGGAGGACCGAAGGAGGCACAAAGAGGCCACAATGGACCTGCCACTCACCCGCACCAAAGGCGGCGCTGCGGACGGGGCAGCCCCGGCACGGGGGACCCCCGGGCCTGGGGAGAGGGTGGCTGGTGGCCGATGCGCTGGGACAGCCGTGGGGACACGGACATGCCCGGTGGAGGAGCAGAGCCACAGCCGCTCCGCGCCCGTCGGAAGTGGTGCAAGAGCTGGACCCAGATGTTCCTTCTCCCTGCTCTCATTTCCTGTTATTTCCAGCCAGCTTTCCACCCAGCTGGGTGGGTTTTGCTTTCTCCTTCCAACCTCCCACTCCGTTCAGGGACCGTCTGGCTCGCTGCTGTGCCCATCCAGCTCCCGTGCTGGCCCCGGGAACTGCAGAACAGCCAAAATGCACTGGGAAAAGCCGGGCCCCACAGCGCTGCTGCAAGCCCAGTGCCACGGAGCAGAGCTGAGGCTCCAGCCAACGTCCCTCCACCACCCCGGCCATGGTGACAGAGATGTTGCCACCACAACAAGAGAGGGACACATCTCTGTGCTATTATGTCAAGGTTTTTTCTTATTTTATAGTTATCAATTATCATCACCATCATCTTGTGCTGCCCCAAAGCCTCCCAGCTCTGATCACGAGCACCCCACAGGTGAGTTCACCCACAGGGTTAGGGCAGAGCCCGCTTCCCACACATCCCACCCCGGGATTTTACTCACAGCACAGCCCCGACCATGAACGACCCTCTGATCCCCTCCTGGCTGTCCCACTCCCAGTGCCAGGATCGGTACTGCTGCAGGAGATAAGCCCCAGCACCCCCTGTCCTGCTGCTGCTGCTGCTCCCTGGGGCTCGGGGAACCACAGCTCCGGTGCCACAGCAAAGCCCCTCAGCCACGCCACCAACGCCGTCAGGTGTCAGCAGGTTTTGTTCATTTTCTTCTCATTTGAAAGCTCTTTTTTTAATAAAATGCTGAAAAGTTCAAACTTTCCCAGGAACTCTGTGGCTGGGAAGAGGATGGGCACCTCTGACAGAAATAATTGTGGCTGTCAGAGGCTCTGACACCAGGGATTGGTACACAAAGCTCTGCCAGCATCAGGCACACCCACAGGCGCACCAGGAGGGGATGGCAGGGTCTCCTCTGCCGTGACACCCACCCAAAGCTTCCCACCACCCCACCACCAGCACCAGTCAATCTGCGCTCCCAGAGGGCTCCCCTGGGGTCTCATTGCCCCGGTGCTGCACTCCCGCCGAGCACTTCCACAGGAAAACCTCTGTGAAAACCACAAAAAGCTTCTCAGCGCAGCAGATGCCGCTTCAGCCTGTGTTCTTGGAGATGGAGGAGGAGGAGGAGGATGTGAGGAAAGCCACAGCTTCCCCAGCCGCAGGGCAGCCCCGCCAGGGTCAGCCCAGGATGGTGGTTCTCCCGTGGAAATCCTTACGGCTCCAGCCCCCGTGTTTGTTGTCAGTGGCAGCAGCAGGAGGAGGTGTGAGGAGGAGGTGCAACTCCACTGCTTTTTAAGAAAATAATAAAAAAAGAGCCTTTCCAACCCGCCTGAGAGACAGGCGGTGCAGGAGAGCACTGCTTTGAGCGGTGACTTGCACTTGACTCCTTCTCCTTCCCTGTCTGCCCACAGCCACTGGCAGCAATTTGAACTCTGGAACCCCAGGTGAGGATCAGCCTGGCAGGACGGTGCCCTCCATCCTTATGGAGGATGACAGATGTGCCTGAGCTGGGCACCCGGTTGGGGGCTCACAAATGTCCCTGGTCACCCAGGAGGTGACCGCCACTGCTGTGGCACACTAGGGCTCCACCAATTCCTGCACCAAGTCATGCCTGCCCGGCAGGGATGGTGGGGTGTGAGGTGCTCTGCTCCGTGAACACGGCACAGGGGACAGGGACGATGTCCAGCAGCAGGAACCACCTCATCCAAATCCAGTGGCACAGAAGGGCCACGCTCAGGGACGTGGGTCCTGCCCCATGGCCGAGCCTGCCGGTCCGTGCCTGGCCCCACATGGGGATGGCTCCTGGAGCACACGGGATGGCCCCTGGAGAACACGGGATGGCCCTTGGAGAACACGGGATGGCCCTTGGAGCACATGGGATGGCCCCTGGAGCACATGGGATGGCCCTTGGCTCCACATGGGATGGCACTTTTGGCCCTACACGGGTTGGCACTCGGCCCCACAGGGATGGCCCCAGCCCCACAGGGATGGCACTCGTGGTCCCAGACAAGATGGCCCCGGCTCCAGCCCCACAGGGATGGCACTCCTGGCCCCACAGGGATGGCCCCGGCTCCAGCCCCACAGGGATGGCACTCTTGGCCCCACAGGCATGGTCCCAGCCCCACAGGGATGACTCTCCTGGCCCCACAGGGATGGCCCCAGCCCCACAGGGATGGCTCTCCTGGCCCCACAGAGATGGCCCCAGCCCCACAGGGATGGCACTCGTGGTCCCACAGGGATAGCCCCAGCCCCACAGGGATGGCCCAGCCCCACAGGGATGGCACTCTTGGCCCCACAGGGATGGCCCAGCCCCACAGGGATGGCACTCGTGGTCCCACAGGGATGGGCACGGCGCTCGTGGTCCCGCAGTGCTCGGGGTCTCGGCACGCGGGCCCCTGCCGAGCCCGGCGGCCGCGGGGCCCCGCGCAGGCCCGCGGCGGAGCCGAGCAGCGGAGCCGAGCAGCCGGAGCCGAGCGGCCGGAGCCGAGCGGCCGGAGCCGAGCAGCCGGAGCGGCGGCGGGGCCGTGCCGGGGCTGCGGCCCCCGGCCCCCGGCGCTCGGCTCCGGCCCGGTCCGGAGCGGCGGCCGCAACAGGCGCGGCCCCGGCCCCGCCGCTCCGCCCGGACCCCGGTAGAGGCCGAGCCGGCGGCGGCCCCGCTCCCCCCCAGCCCCGGCGGGGCCCGCGCGGCTCCGGGCCCGGCCCGCGCAGGCCGAGCGGCACCGCCCGGCCCAGCCCGGCCCGGCCCGGCCCGGCCCGGCGCACAAAGAGCCCCGGCCCGCCCCCCCTTACCGGCGGTCGGCGCCGCGCTGCGGGGGCGGCGGCGGGCGGCTCCAGTCACGCCGGGAACCATGGAAAGGAGCCGGGACGGGAGACGTACGTGGCGGGCGGGCGGGGGCGGCCGTGCCCGGCAGCGGGGGGCGGCGCGGCGGGGCCGGGGCCGGGGCCGGGGCCGGGGCCGGGCCGGGCCGGGCCGGGCGGGCTGCGGGGGCGGGGGGCGTGCGGGGCCCTCGGGGCTCGCGTGTGCCCCGGGCCGCTGTCCCCCCGCGGGCAGCGCCGAGCTCGATGCGGCCCCGCCGGGGGCTCCGAGGGGCGGCACCGCCCGGGCCCCGCCGCTCCCCGAGGTGAGAGAGCCCTGAGGGGGTCCTGGGGATCTCGGGGTGCCCACGCTGTCCCCAGGCTTCCCCAGCGCCCCCAGCCATGGGGCTGACACCTCCGGCCGTGAGTGGCCTGGGGGCCGGTGTGTGTAGGGAGCAGCATCCAGATGGGTGGATGGATGATGGATAGATGGGTGCATGGATGGATGATGGATGGATGGATGGATGGATGGATGGATGGATGGATGGATGGATGGATGGATGGATGGATGGATGGATGGATGGATGGATGGATGGATGGATGGATGGATGGATGGATGGATGGATGGATGGATGGATGGATGGATGGATGGATGGATGGATGGATGGATGGATCCATCCCAGATTTCCTGGCTGCCTCTCAGACTCTTGCACACCTTTGGAGTGTCCCAGGCTTCTGGAGCCTGGACCTCCAGTCTCGTGGTAAGGAAGGGGAGACAGCCCTGCTGCCCCACAGCTGAACATCCCAGACGGGTTATAAGCAAGGATCACTCGAGCAGACAGAAAACAGCCGTCCCCACATCGCACGCTCTGGCTGACAGCTCAGGACGGGAAGCGATCTCCTCTTACAAACTACAGGAGCCCGTTTACACAGGGCAAACACTTCCCGTTCCAGAGAGACCAGAGCGAACGGCAGCAGCTCAGAGCCTCCACTTCCCTCCTGGCTCTGCAAACCTTCCAGACCTGCTGCGGGAAGAACTCCGCACCGCTGGGCACCACGGCCTCCCACAGCACCCTGCACAGCCAGAAACTGCTCGGCTGCACGGCTGTGGGTGCTGGAGCCTGAGCACGTGTGTGGGATGGTCCAGAGCTCTCACAGGACAGCTGAGATTTGTCCCACTCCATCATTTGATCTGTGTCTAGGAGCTGAGCAGTCCTGGGTGAAGATGTGGAAGGCTCTGATGAAACACAGAGTAAGAGTGGAAATACTGGAGGCAAACCTTCGGTTTTCGGTGCCTAGAACATGTGCCTCATCATTCTCTTCCCCAAGTTAGCGCAGATCAGACTCTCCCGAGGCACAGTGAGCTTTGCAGTGAGCTTTGGTGGCTGCAGTCTCCTCCTAATCCAGGCTTGTTTCTGGGAAAATAGGCAATTTTATATCCCTTTGATGTGGGTCTTACCTGCTAATGATGCTAGGAAGTAAAAACAAATGGGCATAGAAATACACAATTATGAAGAATTAAAATAGTGAATTTAATTCAGCCAATTCCAACAAAACTGTTAATTCCTTGAAAAACAAACCTTGCACAGAAAACAGAACAGGAATGGTTTCATCTTGACAGCTGGTGAGAACTGGTGAAAAGGTGAATGGAATATTTCTGACTTCTCTGGAAAACACAAGGTTTCCCACATCTGGAAAATGCCCTATTTTTTACTAAATGGGTCGGTTTGGGAGGCAGTGATTGTAAATGCTCTGCAAGGAAAGCACAGGTCTGTGCTCTGAACTGCAGATGCCAAATGTCTGGTTTTCAGAAAGCACTGATGCCTCCCTAAAGGAAAAGCTGGGACTTCTAAAAATGATAGAAACATGGAACGGTCTGGGCTGGAAGGGAAACTCAAAGCTCAACTCACTCTAAGCCCCCACCAAGAGCAGGGACACGTTCCAATAGACTAGCCCAGAAACGTGCAGAACAGCAACAAGAAATGTATTATTTTTCAGAATGCTAAGCCTGGCTTGCTCAGTGGTCCTGATCTGGGCTCTGGGGCGATGCAGAGCCTGACGAAAGGACGCGAGGCTGCGGCTGTCGCCGGGCGCGTGGCTGGAAAGCCTGGCTCGGCTCCTCAGCACTGAAATACTCTTTCCAAAGCAATACCAAAAAAGGTTTGTTTCTAGGTCAGGACCTCAGCACTCAATTTTAACCAGGGGCTGACAGTCCAATCTGAACACAGCTGTAAAATGGATTCACGGGAGAAGCTTTGGCATTCCTTTTGTAATTAGAAAACAGGCACTGAGGCGTGTGCCTTTAAAGGTGAAAGCTATTTTTGACATAAAAATTAGCACGTAGTTCCTCTGTCATCCCTCGGCTGCTGCGCTGGGAGCTGTGAGTGAACAACCCAAAGATAAGCAAGAAGTATAAACATGCTGAATTATACAAATACGTAGAAGGGGATCAGGTTTAATTTGTTTTATTCTGTGACAGTTAGGAGACAAGGAGATTTATTCTTACACTTTTTCTCCTAAAAAGCACTGGTTCAAAGGTCCACTTAAGCACTGAAACCCCAATGGCATTAAAAAACTTGAAGAGCTTTTAATAGCTACGTTTTGAAATTACTGTTAAATCTATTTTTGAGATGGATAAACTAAGCTACCAATGAAGCAGGGCAGGAGTTTTTTTGGAAGGGCCCAGCTGTGAGAAACTGTCATTCATTTCTCAACAACTCAGCTCCTGTACAGGGACTCTGAGATAAAACCTACCACAGTGCTTGATGCTTTAAAAACCTGAGCGTTCTTGAAATTCCAATTTTCTCTCTTTGGTGGGAATCTAACCCCGACAGCCTTGAAAATGAACCCCAGGCAGTTTTCAGGATATGGCTCAGAGTGGCTGTTTCTAAAATAAAAGTGAGGGAAGAGCGAGCAGAACTTGGAGGCTTATCAGCACCCGGAATGCCCCAGCTAATCCCCAGCAGCCCCGGCCCCTTTATGTAACCTGGGATTGCTGCAGCTCAACAGCTTACTGGGGTCTGGGCGGTTTTCTTTATACCTCTTGTGGACAAATGCAAACACATTAAATACTTCTTTCTTCTGCCTCTCTAAGGAAAAAACTGTTGTAAGAGGGTGAAAAAAATGTTTTATTTGTATCAATGGCTAATAGAATTAAACTTGTATGCTGCAACTAAAACATGTTTCTCTCTGATCCATCATGACTGAACAGAACTTTTCCAATTTACAACATTCAGGTGTAACGCTTGAAAACAAGGTTGCATCCCAAATTTCACCCCTAACACTCTGTGGAGGTGTTGGGATGTTCCAAATAGAGAAAACCAGCCCGTTTTCACCCTGCACCCCATTGCTGGCAGTGTGGCTGGCTGTGCTGCAATACTTACGTCCCTGTGGCCACCTCCCCGCGGCTCTCCTTGCCCGGAGGACGCCTTTCCGTGCCCTCCATCTGACTGCTCTGACTTTCCACGGCACACATCCTTCCAAGGCAAAATTCAGCCCTCAAGCTCTCTCTCGGCCGGTGCTAAGCCATTCACCTCACGCTGAATGCTTACGGAAACTTCAGAAGGAAAAAAATAAACCCCCTATTGAACTCTTTGCAATCGGAGACCTGAATGGGCTCGATATAAACCCCACTCGAAGCAGCGGCAGCAATAGGCTTCCCTGGATGTTGGATTCCATCCAGCTTAAAAGTTTCCATGAAATAAACTAGGCTAAGCACATCAGCTGCATAGAAACTAACTCGGTGTAACAGGAGCATCTGTTCTCCACGTCCACCATTTTCTCAGTGCCTGAACTCGGCAGCGCGAGGTGCCCGTGGATCCCGGCCACGCCAGCGGGCACGGACACGGATTATCAGGGAGCATGCACGTCGTAGAAACTACTACACCAGGTAGCTTTTGTTTATCAGAAAAACAGCTTAATGTATTTGCAAGGATGGCATTACAGAGCGAAGTTGATGTCCGCACTGAGACAGCAGAGGAGCACACCTCGGACCCATTAATACACGGTACAAAGCAAATGTTTACCCAAGTACAAATGAAACAGGTCGACAATTAGCTAATGCAGCTTTGTGGACATAAACCAGGTACAGTCGAGCAGAACCAACATAAAATAAAAAGGAAACAGCCCTTTTCCTACGCCACGCTAAGAGCACTGTGGTTAGTGGTTTGGGAAGCCTCTGTCACGGTGAAAAATTTCCTTGCCGGTGTTTAATGTGTTTATTCTACTGCTACACTGCTGGGATAAAAATAACAGCTGGCTGTACAAGGGACCCACTGTCAATACTGCAGTAATTGACAACATACAATTAAGTCTCACACCTGTTTATTGTAAGTAATTCATAGATAACCACTTCTAGTACACATTTTCATATTGGCTTTTAATGCTTTTGTTTTTTTTTTAAGCTCAGGGATACCCAAATTTCACCTAAGGGTCATCGCTGTGGTTACCCAGACCCAGAGGGCTATACCTACTTTGGAAAACTGGTGCAAGGTGGTGTCGTGGCCAGGGATGGCAGAGATGGCTGGGGAGCTACAGGTCCCAACATGCAGGACAGTGTGGAGGCGGCAGCGGGCCGGGGCAGCGGGGCTGGGGACATGCGCTGGCCGTGCACGCCGGGCTCTACACAGGGCCGAAACAAAGACCTCTACACACCTGGAGTAAGAACAGTGGTAACAAAGTCATAGCTACATATTCTTCTCTACATTTTTGTTTATTGAGACAAACTAATTAAAAGGCACAAACATAGGGCATATGTTTACATGGACATTATAACAAACATATACATTAAAAGTGTAGGAATGTGTTTCCTTTCTGCTAAACAGAAAGTTCCTAAGCTTTTATATATACAAAAGTTGTACAATTTGATGTCCTAAAGTACAAAAGATCATTTATAAAATTATTTTACACTAAGCTCTATTATTTTTTTGTTTGTTTTTGTTTTACTATGTAGTCCAAGCCCCTAGAACAGTTTCACGTAAGGATACAGATACCTGTCACCTGAGCCAGCAGCCTGGCAATCACTGCTCGCACGGACACGGCCGGGGAGGAACGGAAGCAGTCCAGTGTGACTGGTCAGTCCTGCTAGCACTCTGTGA